GAAGTTGATACTAACATAATTTTTTAGTAATAAAAGAAACTGATGATGGCTAGAAAATCTGGCTAAAAAATTATAACTATATTTAGAATTTTTAGATGTAAAGCTGCATTCAGAACCTCGCACTTAGTGGATTAAATTAGTGGTTTCAATTAGCGTAAAAGTTTGTTCCTCTAATTTAAATGTAAGCATTCAGAACGTCAAAATTAGTGGTAGGAATTTTCAATTAGTGGAAAAAGTTACCAAACTTAACTTTTCCACTAATTATACTTCAAAATTTGCGAGGAATGTCATTTTGGCCTTTGTTTTTGATCCGTCAAGAAAAAATGGTCAGAAATCAGAAGTTTATTGTTTTATAAGCTAAATATTAGGTTTTCTCTATGGATACAACTGATTACTGCAAGCTGTTGCAGTAATCAGATATTCTATTAAGTAGATATTCTATTAATTTTGATTGTATTTTTTAGACATTGTGAATGATCGTAAACTAAAAAGTATAAAGTGTAATTGAAACCACTAATTTATTCCACTAATTGCGAGGTTCTGATCGAAGCTTCAAAAATAATTTAGTTTTATAAGGTTTTTAGTACAATAGAATCTTAACTATTAATAAATAAACTATTGGAAAACGTACATAATATTAGTGTTAATAAAAAATATGTTTTCTAATTGATATAATCGACCAAAAATTCTAAAACAGAGGTGTAAAATATTTTAAGTTATTGCCTGGCTAATCTGGACGGGGAGGTACTTTGTCTACGCGGAATCCGAACCGCGGTTCTCAGTCATATAAATGTCAATGGCCTACCGACTTGACGAGTGCTTAAAACGACACTTACGAGATACCGGATCTCATCTGCGTGTGTGTGTCAGTGGATGCACGACAGTTTCCAGATGGTCACCCGTCTATACACTCGCACCGTCTAACAACGAACAGAGGTGTTAGGTTGTGATGACTTGATGAATGAAATGAAAACTCAAAAATACACCTCTATTATTAGTGATAGTCAATAGTCAATGAAGAAAATGCTCTCAATCATTTTTGTAGAGAATTTTCTAGGCTTCAATTCTGGGGTTCTATATAAAGTATTTTTGTAGAAATCTAAGTTTTCGAGATATTAAGCAAAAAAGTGAAAAAAAAATACAATTCACCTCCCCGAAAAAGCTCACCATAATTCTTTTATCGGACATTTTTGACACAAATAAATCTAGAGAAACCCGCTAAAACCATTTTCAAAACTCTAGGACTTTTATCCACCAATAAGCTAGAAGGGGATGATATATCCCAACAAAATAAATGAATATCAATACTTTCCAACAAAAAGTTTGGATTAAATAATTTTCGGATAATAGAATTAAACCTCATTTTTTTTCGAACGCCACATAAATAATTGAAGAAAAAAAAAGCGAGCTTGCGATTTAAATCGCGAAATTTCCGAAAGAGTACCCTTTAAAACTTTATTGTAAGACCACGTCTGTTCCGTTCGAACTAAACTTAGACGTACCCAGCCATCTCTTCTCCTTCATTGTCAACGGGAACAGGCAACGACGTACGTCTGAGTCGATAGCGGAAGGTCTGGAACGGGGCGCAGACTCTGAGTATCGATTCGTACGGGGCGCGTCTTTTTTTCACAGGACAAACCGTATTAGCATCGAGGGGGATGGAAATAGCATTTAGCGGTGTTGCCGGGCGGGGGAAATAAAAGAGGCGAGTGACAATGAGGAAGTGGTTTTCATAAAGTATAGAAAGTTCATTTTTTCCATCTTTTGCAATGTTGACAATTTGACAACAATATAAATTTCGAATTGTCCTGAATTCCATGGTTTTCGAATCCTATTTTTACATTAATTCCTGAAAAGGATAAAAATTATATAAAAAAAAACAGGGAAGTTAATCACCGCGACCTTATAGATCTATCGTGTCTTCCTTTCTTGAGTCATAACTCACTATATTATAGTCTCAGGACTTTGACAAAGGCCAGTATTTGGGACGGTTTTGCAGAGGTTAGTTCTTCATCTCCGATATCAGTCATTCCAAAGTTTATGGCACGAATGGCTGTCGTCTCGAGGTATTCTGGTATTTCCTCATTTTCCTCACACCTCACAAGAAATGTGTTCATTGAGGAGATAGTGTCGTATTAAAAACCCCTTGACAATTCGAAGATTGTTCATACTTAAATCAAGGACAATCCTGATTTTTCTCGGTCCTGAGAGAACCGACTACTGTATGTACTTAGACTGTAAACAAACATATGGGAAGTCATTTTGATAGTGCAGGAAGATTATTCTTATTTGCATTAATATTGACAAGAATAATTTTCAAATTAGACCAGCTAGCAATTAGACCTAACTTAATCAGTTCGAAAAGAATAAAAAGTATCATGATGGTAAAATTTTCATGTATTTATATGTATTATTATTTTCAAGTATTGATCTCTCATTATTACAGAAGCTTCTTAAAGAATTGTCCAAGATTAGAAGGTTTCTCCCAAGCTATTACAAGCGAATATGCGATTCATGGTAGCTGTCAACAATAAGCCATATTCGTATAAAATATTTTGTCAAGACATACCGAATATTGCCACACTAGTTAAGGAATTACTTATTTGTCTCAAATCATTTTGTCGCAGAAAAATTATGATTAATTTAAAAAAAATAAAAATTTCCGAAATTTATTATTTCAGTCAAAGAACTATCTACTCAACGTGTTTATCTTTTGCCAATAATGACATGAATTGGCTATTTCCATCCTAAATATCTTGAGAACAGTTCCTCGTAGCGATTTTTACCAAGAGACATTTTTTTACGTAAAAAATCACAGAAATGTACATTTTTTCACTCAGTAGTTTTATACAGGTACGAACGAAAATGTATTACTCTTCAAAACAATTAAAACATGTAGGTGGCACCCCCTACAAATAGGAGTCATATTGACATCAAAATTATTCCAAATATTGACGTTACTTTAAAAATTATCTGGAAAAAATCGAAATAAAAATGAAGCTTCTACACCCTGTATCTCCAAAACTAAGCATTTTAGAACATACATTTATACGAACTGTTTTACTTATTTTTATCTGCAGAATATACTGCCGAAGTTTCCGGAATACATTTTGGACCCCCTTGCAAACTGAAAAATAGAATTTTTCGTCAAATGAATACTTATTGTTTCTTTCATTCAAATTTCATCTGCCTGAAATTACTTGAAAAACAATTATTTAAATATTTTATATGTAGAACTCAAGTCCTGCAAAAGTCTTGCAACAAGACAAAAACCATGACTTGACCCTGGAAGACCAAGACCACTTATTAGACTACAAGACCACCACCAAGGAAGTTTTGGTATTACATTTGCTCATCACTACTTTGTATTTTCCTATTCTCCTTCCTATTCTTAATATCTTTTTATACACTAAAAAAAGCTAAATATATTTTACAACTCAAGTACAACATTTATAAGAAAGCTACCTACTCTATGAAAATATTCCATTAAGAGTCCGAAACGACTTTTAGTATCACACAACTTTGTTGCGGATGGTATTGGCAACACCGCGTCGCCCCTCGTAACATTCTTCCGCACCCAATTTGCAACCCCAGTCTCACACCCCCAGGCTGGCACTCCCCACGACCCTCCAGGAGGCTCCTACGAAAATGAGCAATATTATATGGACTAATCGATCTTCTAATCGACAGTTATTTTGTTTAAACATGAACACGGAGTGTTCCCAGACTTCCCTATCGTTCAATACTTCTTAAATACACACAAAAAAGTAAAAATTTAAAAGCTACCTTATATTTTGAGTTCACACGAGCAGATGCAACAATACCAAAACGAAAGTGCGGAAGAAAAAAATGACCATAGAAAACGAGCGCCCATGAATCCCTAGATGGTGGAAAAAATCACCAGAGCCTCTGTTCTTCAGGCGAAACAGTTCTTAGTAGAGCAGATTTTTTTTTGTGGGAGAAAACCTAAAAACAAAGATTTTAAGATAAAAAAAATATGGCGGAGGTCGATATTGTTGATGGTTGTTGAAATGTTTCGAAACATTTCCTTTCAAAGTTTTGATTAGGTTAGGTTAGGAAATGGAACTGGAAACACACGTAATAAAATATATAGGTTTGGAGAATGTTTCCTATTTGGGGCATACCGTTTCCCTTTTGTATCAAGAAACAAAAACACGATTATTAGAAACAAAAATACTACTTGGGAACTTGTTGATTCTACCCTTTAGAAGTAGGTAGGTACCTACTGAAATCGTTTCATTTCTGGTAGTAGAGATCCTGAGTTGTGTAATAGTTGTCCAATATATACAGAGTGTCCAAGAAATAAGTGCAAGTATTTTAACTGGTAGTATATGTCGGCTTCAGAAACACGCCTATGAGTTTTTTTGAAAAGATTTTTTTGGAATTTTTTTTAGTTTTAAGTTAAAAAACATAATTTCTTGATAATATGGTAACATAGGTAGCAGATTAAATTTATACGAAAGAAAATCCAGAAAAGATCCAGTGGTTCTCAAAATTTAAGCAAAAAGCATTTTTGTTTAAATTTTCAAAGTAAAATAACTCGGTTATTTTGGACTTAGGTACTTGAAAAACGGTAAAGAGAAAAAATGTTATTTCTGGGACACTCTGTATATCTTCTACTATTTCCAGTGTTATATATTAGAATGTCTTTTCTGTCTAACAGTTCGTTGTACAGGGTGAGTCAACGATAGAGTAAAGTCCATTATCTCATTTGTTTCGAGGTTTACAAAAAAATATTAAATATAAAAGTTATAAGATGGTTAAGATACACATTTTAAAATTATTGTACGGTATACAGGGTGCTTCAAAAATATGTGGCGAATATAACATGTTTTTTTAAATGCAACACCCTATTTTTTATTTTATTTTTAGATTCTGCGTAAAATTCTTAGATTCTGCGTAAAATATATACCTAAAGTTAATAGTTTTTGTTATATTTGAATTTGTTTAAACAAATGTTAGATTGCAGTGGGTTAAAAAATTGTCAATGATGGCATTGATTCTGAAATTGAACAACTAAAATTTGGTAGGAGAATTTTATAGAGATATAGAAAAAGACCTATGTAAAGATATTTTAGTTAGATGTTACAGGGTGTTCAAAATATATTTAGGAATTTCAACTACTTAAAATTAAGGAATTTCAATTTTTTTAAATGGTACACTATATATTATCATTTTTTCTGATAGATTTTACCAAACTCTTCAACTTTTATTAAGAATGTCATATACCTATTTTTATTAGTTTGCGATTTATTCCAATTTTTTCTATTTTTACCCATATTTTTAATACAATTGCGCTGTAACATCATAGTTGCCATGACAAAAAGTAATAATTATCGCAATTTCATGTCTGTTAAGCAAGTTAAGAACAAAATTTGAATTTTAGTTAATTTGTTGTAATAAATATAAATGGTAGAGATAACAGTTCTTGAAATGAATTAGTCAATGTGATTGATATACACGGACAAGCTTAGAAAAACACATTTTTTGGTTCAGTACTATATATTAAATAGTACGTTGCTACTACTATAAGGATAGATGTATATTATCTAGAAAACATTTTCAGTGTGTAAAGGGACGGTTTCGAGGCAGTAGTAATATTGGCTTTACCAAATGAATTATAAACCAGAATTACTACGAGAAAAAACTTTACTGTATGTCGAAGAAAATTCATATATCAGTAGTCTTCAGCAATTAGGTAATCTAGTATTACCCTAATCTGTGGCTATTCGCCAAGACGAAAAATCCCAAGTGTCATCTTTCATAATATAGAAATACGCCAAGAAATTCACTACTGCGATTTAGTTTATTTGAGTAAAGTTAATTGGTTTTAACTAATACCAGCAATTGTAACTAATTATCAAGCTACTTGTTAAAGGTAAGTAATAAATAGTTTTGTTTTGTCATGGCAACTATGATTTTATAGGGTAATTTTATTGAAAATATGGGGTAAAAATAGAAAAAAATGGGAATAAATCGCAAACTATTAAAAATAGGGATATGACATACTTAATAAAAGTTGAAGAGTTTTGTCAAATCTATCAGAAAAAATGATAATATATATGGTGTCCCATTTAAAAAATTTGAGATATTTTAATTTTAAGTAGTTGAAATTCATAAATATATTTTGAACACCCTGTATCATTTATATATCTTTTTTTCATCTCTATAAAACTCTCCTACCAAATTTTGGTACTCCAACTTAAGAAACAATGGCACCACTGAAAATTTTTTACCACACTGCAATTTAACATTTGTTTAAATAAATTGAAATATTACAAAAATTATTAATTTTAGGTATATAACATTATATATAAAAAAGTTATGAAATTTTACGCAGAATCTAAAAATAAAATAAAAAAAAGGATGTTGCATTTAAAAAAACATATGTTATAGTCGCCACACGTTTTTGAAGCACCTTGTATACTCTATAATAATTTTAAAATGTGTATCTTAACCATCCCTATAACTTTTACATTAAACATTTTTTTGTAAACCTTGAAACAAATGAGATAATGGACTTTACTCTATCGTTGACTCACCCTGTACAATACAATACTTTAGTAATAACTAAATTCAGACACGATTATTAGAAACATTGACTAAAATGTGTCCAAAAATACTACTTGGGAACTTGGTGATTCTATCCTTTAGAAGTATAGATACCTATTAAAATCTAAAATAATTTTCCTGTTATATCCTATTTATATGTTATCATTATCAATTATCTATATCGGTAACCTATACCATTCACGGCGATTTGCATAATTTATTAATTAATTCCAATTCCCGATCCATTCACTTCGGCTTTTCCAGTTCGAACAGCATTAACGAATTATGAATACATCTAATTAACCCAACTTATTTGTACCTGTTACAAATTTATCGCGGAAGGTACACAAAACAATGAATATAATTATTATTAAGTAAAAAGCGGCGCAGACTGGCGTTCCTTTTTTTTTCATGAGGAAATCGAACTACATTATATTTTGGAAAAGGTCGTTATCAGTCGATTTTAATTATGTTGCATAATGTTTTAACTTCAGTCGAAACGAAATATTTAAGAAACAGTAACGGAACATTATTCATTTTGACATTTATTAACAATATTTGAAAGTACAATTTTGTCGATTCTTTTCGCTCTAATTCTATATACAGAGTAACTTATAATAAAAAACTTGTACGAACTGCCATCAATTACAGAAAAAGCTACAGAAAAGCTAAGAAATCTCTCATAATAGAAGCCCTAACGAAACAGTATATACAATGGACACTTATACAGGGTTGTTCACCACATACGACACGGAGTATTGTGGCTAAACGATGATATTTTTACAAATTGTAAGTTTGGGGTTCGTTGAAGGACTATTACAGCTACAATTTAAAAATATTTTTACAAGATACAGAGTGTCCCAAATAAATAAAAAATATCAAAGTTGTATTTTTTTTAAATGGAACACCCTGTATATTATTACATTTTTAGTTTCTACGATTAAAATAAAGGTAAATTTGATTAAGGTTTATTATACTTAAACATTACGTTTTTGAAATATTTTCAATTTTGTGAAATTGCAGTAAAAATTTTAAAGCTTTATTTCTCCAAGGGTATCAATGTTTTTAATACTAAATATTTAATGAAGTTTATTTATTGATCAGTTATTGTGTTGCAATAATAAAAATAATACTACTTTATAGAGAGTGTCTAAAAATTTACTTTAAATAATTATTAACTTCAAACGGCAACAACTTCTTTAATTTAAATAGAATGCCCTGTATATTTTAGGAGAATCAGATGCACAATTAAATTGTCTATCAAATTTATTATACCATTTTTTACCTATCCCTTCAAGTTTTCGTATAAAATGCATTTTCTTATAATTTAGACCTCATTTATCAATATATCAATGGAATATTGACATTTTAGATTGTTTTTAAAGCAACAAATGTACAAAATGTACAGACTAGTAATATTATCGTTTTTAGCAAAACGATAATATTACTAGCCCATTTGTATGCAAAAAGAAAACTATTTAAATCTTTATAAAAGAGTATACCATTAATTAAATATAACACCATTATTTGCGCCCATATACTAATTAATTACATACTTAATTGTGTTCGTTATTAAATTATTATAAATAAATGTGGATTTGAGTCAGAAATCAATATAATAATAAGTTATCAAATTAAAGTCTCTGTAGTTATAAATAAGCATTTATTAAAAAATGAAATATCATTTTTAAGGTGTTACTTTTTATCACACTGTCTAATGCCCATACAAAATTCAGTTTTTTAGTATTTGGAGCAATTATTATTAA